AACTGTACACCACAATTGGTGTACAGTCACATGTGTTGGCATGCTACACAACATATATTTTAACACAACCCCTTAGCATGCTAACACAGGAAGAGAACAACCCCTGAATCAAGGGGCGCCCGGGCGAGCGAGGCCAATGAGGCGGAGGAAAGCAGAGTGCGCAGGGCGAAGGAGGGCCTTAGTGAAGATGTCGGCCAAGTTGGCCTCGGTCGCAATCTTGCGAACGGCAATAAGGCCCTTCTGGACGAGCTCGCGAATGAAAAAGTAGCGGAGCTCGATGTGTTTGGAGCGGGCGTGATAGACGGGGTCCTGAGTGAGATGGATGGTGCTGGCATTGTCGCACCAGAGGGTGGGGCACGTCTGGGGGGCGCCAAGCTCTGCAAGAAGGAAAAAAAGCCAGCGGGACTCCTGGGCGGCCATGGTGCCAGCGTAGAGCTCGGCCTCGCAGGTGGAGAGAGAGATGGCGGAGGAGCGGGTGGAGCGCCAGCTGATGAGGCCGCTGCCAAGGGTGAAGCCGTAGCCCTGGGAGGAGCGGCGGTCCGGCTGCGTGTCAGCCCAAGAGGAGTCACTGAAGCCCGAGAGAAGAGGAGGGGAAGGGCCGCCAAGGGTGAGGGCAAGGTCCTTGGTCCCGCGAAGGTAGCGGAGGACCCGCTTGGCAGCTTTCCAGTGCTCCTCAGTGTGACGACCGGTGCCGACAAAGCGGGCGAGCACGCTGATGGGGTAGGCGAGGTCGGGGCGGGTGCACATCATCGCGTACATCAGGGACCCAACGAGCTCGGCATAGGGGTGGGGGGAGGAGGTGGGGGAGGAGGGTGGTGCGAGTTGGTGGCCGAAAGGGAGGGGGGTGGAGACAGGCTTGGCCTGCGCCATGTCGAACTTCTCCAAGACCTGGCCGATGTAGTGGGACTGTGAGAGGGTGATGGTGCGAGCAGGGCGGTTGCGCGTGATGGCCATGCCCAGGTAGTGAGTGAGGGCGCCAAGGTCTTTGCACTTGAGACGCTGCTGCAGGGACAGCTTCATCTGCTCCATGTCGGCCCTGGTGTCAGAGAGCAGGATCATGTCGTCCACATACACCAGAATGAAGAATCGGCGGGGGGAGGAGCGGATGAAGAGGCTGGCGTCGGAGTGGGAAGCAGAGAAGCCGAGAGACCCTAAGGTGGCAGCCAGCTTCGCATGCCACTCACGCGGTGCCTGCTTCAAACCGTAGACAGGGCGGCGCAGCTGCCAGACAGTGTTCTCAAGGAAGGCTGCGTGGAACCCGGGGGGTCGCCGGAGGAAAATGCGCTCGTGCAGGTCGCCCTGCAGGAACGCATTGGAGACGTCCATGGAATCGATCTCCATGTTGTCACGTGCGCCAATGTCGAGGGCGGCGCGAAGGGTGGGTGGTTTGGCGGTGGGGGCGTAGGTGAACCAGTAGTCCTCGGCCCAAGTCTGCGTGAACCCCTTGGCGCAGTAGCGGGCCTTGTACACCGGTTCCTCGCCCGGCAGCTGCTTCACCCGAAAGACCCATTTCCCGTCCACGAGGTTGGCGCCGGCTGGGAGGGGGACATCGACAAAGGAGTCGTTGCGAATGAATGCCTCACACTCCAGGAAGATCGCTGCTATCCATTTATCCGCGTCAGGGCAGGTGATGGCTTCCTGGAAGGTGGAGGGAGTGAAGATGGTGGGGGTGGTGGTGGCGCCAAGGACAGGAAAGCCCAGGAAGTCAAGGTAGAGGGAGGCAAGGAACGGAGTGTGCTCCCGAATGTTGAGGAACTCCTCATGGGAGTCCTCAAGGAGCTGAATGGAGGCAGGAGGAGGAGCCCCAAGGATTTTGTCCACCGAGCGGGTATGGATGTAAGGGAGGAGGAAGGGGGAGGAGCGGGAAGTGGCACGGCGCCGCTGCTGCTGCTGGTGCTGCTGAAGCTGCTGCCCTTGTTGTTGCGGCTGCTGCGGACCGTGCTGCTGCTGTGTCTGCTGCTGCTGACTGTGCTGCTGCTGCTGCTGCTGCTGCTGCTGCTGCTGCTGTCCCGGTTGCTGCTGTTGCGGCTGCCCCGGCTGCTGCTGCTGCTGCTGCTCCGGCTGCTGCTGCTGCTGCTGCCCCGGCTGCCGTTGCTGCTGCTGCTGTTGCCCCTGCTGTCGTTGCTGGTGTTGCTCCGGCTGCTGCTGCTGCTGCCGCGGCTGCTGCTGGTGCTGCTGCTGCCCCTGCTGGTGCTGATCCGGCTGCTGCTGCTGCCCCTGCTGTTGCTGATCCGGCTGCTGGAAAGGAGGAGAATGAGAGGAGGAGGGAGAGGGGGGAGGGGGTGCAGTGGAGTGAGCGGGGGAGGCGGGTGCGGCAGGGTTGTAGACGTCGGCAGAGGAGGAAGGCGGGAGTGGAGCGGCGACAGGTGGGAGGAGAGGCGCTGGAGGGAGAAGAGGCGGGAGGACGGTGTCGGTCCAAGCGAGGGGGCGAGTGGGAGGAGGGAGGGGGTCAGGAGGAGGGGTGGAGTAGTAGGGAGTGGAATCGTCGAAGACGACGTCAATGCTGCGGATGAGGCGATTGGTGGGAGGGTGGAGGAATAGGTAGCCAGGGGAATCACGATTGTGCCCAAGGTAGACACACTCCAGAGCGCGAGGAGCGAGCTTGCCAGCAGCGCGGGAGCGGTCGGCCGGTGGAATGAGGACGAACGCCTTGCAGCCCCAAACACGAAGGCCTGCGGCGTCAGGCTTGGCCTTGGACCAGAGTTCTGTGGGGGAGGAGGAGGGATGCTGAGGGTGGGAGCGGAGATTGAGGAGGAGGGCGGCATGAATGAGAGCATAGCTCCAGAGGGAGGGAGGGGTGGAGGCGTGAGCAATGAGGCAGCGCGCAATCTTGGTGATCTCACGGATGCGACTCTCAGCGATGCCGTTTTGCTGAGGGGAGTGGGGAAGGGTGGAGGTCTGCTGAATGCCGTATGTTTTGCAGTAAGTGGAGAGAGTATGATTGATGAACTCACCCCCACCGTCAGAGTGAAGGCGGCCTATGGGACGTTTGAAGTGGTTGCGGCACTGCTCAGCCCAGTTGATGACCACAGCCGGCACCTGGTCTTTCGTGTGAAGAAAGAAGACGGTGGAGTACCGACTGTGGTCGTCGACGAGCACGAGCATGTACCTGTGCCCCTGACGAGAGCGGATGGGATAAGGGCCCCAGAGATCCATGTGAACAAGGTCAATGGGGGCGGGAGCGAAGGTGGGGTGACTGTGATGGGGGGACTGTTTGAGCTTGCCATGAATGCATGATGGACATGGGGGAGCAGGGGAGGAGGGGAGGGGAGGTAAGGTGGGAGGAAGGCTGTTAAGGAGGCGAGAGGTGACGGTGGAGCGAAGTGCGGCGAAGTTGGGATGGCCGAGTCTGTGATGTAGGAGCACCGCAGGATGGGAGAGGGCAGTAGAGGAGGAGGGGGATGGGGTGGGGGAAAAGTTGGGGGGGGAGGAGGAGGCGGATGGAGTAGAGGAGGAGGATATCGGAGGGAGAGGGAGAAGGGGAGGGGGAGGGTGAGGGGGAAGAGGAGGGGGAGGGGGAGGGAGAAGGGGACCGGTGGAAGTACCAGCACGAGTGGTGACGTGACAAAAGGAGGGACGGGGTGTGCGGAGCGTGTAAAGGCGAGTGCGAGGGCAAAGGGGAATGCGCAGGAGGAAACGACCAGAGGCGGTGTGATAGAGATCGCAGTAGGAAGCAAAGCCAGGGTATATGGCGGTAATGCCAACGCCTTGGAGTTCACGGTGGGAGAGGAGGTTATTGCGAAGGGTAGGGATGTGGAGACCGGTGACTGTACCGGATGGGAAGGCGGTGCAAGGAAGGGTGGAGAGGTGAGTGCAGGGGATGGAAAAGCTGGAGTCGGCACCATGAACCTGGGTGGGAAGTGGGAGGGGGGTGAGGGTGCCAGCGTCTTTTAGTGCGGTTTCGGTGGCCCCACTGTCAAGGACAAAGTCCAGGGTGGGGGGGGAAGGAGAGGGATGGAACACAGAGTACTGGAGAGTTGTTTCATGGATAGAAGAGGGAGAGAGCGGCGGGTGCTGCTGCTGTAAGTACTGTTGCTGCGGCGGCTGCTGCGGTGGGAGAGACTGTGGCGGTTGCGGCTGGAGAGATTGGGCTGCTGCTGCTGCTGGAAGCACCACCGATGCTGCTGCGGTTGCTGCGGCTGGAGAGATTGTGGTGGCTGCTGCTGCTGGAAGCACTGCTGCTGCTGCGGATGGAGAGAACTGTGGCTGGTGCTGCTGCTGGAAGCACTGCTGCTGCTGCGGCTGAAGAAACTGTGGCTGCCGCTGCTGCTGGAAGGACTGCTGCTGCTGCTGCGGCGGAAGGAACTGTGGCAGCTGCTGCTGCTGGAAGCACTGCTGCTGCTGCGGCTGGGGAAACTGTGGCTGCTGCTGCTGCAGGAAGGACTGCTGCTGCTGCGGCGGGAGGAACTGTGGCAGCTGCTGCTGCTGGAAGGACTGCTGCTGCTGCGGCTGGAAGGACTGCTGCTGCTGCGGCTGGAAGGACTGCTGCTGCTGCGGCTGGAAGGACTGCTGCTGCTGGGGATGGAGAAACTGTGGCGGGTGAGGCTGGAGAGATTGCGGCTGCTGTTGGTGTAGGAAGAACTGCTGCTGCTGCGATTGCCGCGGCTGGAGGAGATGTGGGGGGTGCGGCTGGAGAAATTGTGGTTGCTGCCACTGCTGGAGGTGCTGCTGCTGCTGATGCTGGAGCTGCTGGAAACGCCGCAGATGGGGAGGGGGGGAGGAGGAGGTGAGCAGGCGGAGATAAGGGGGGGGGGAGGAGTGGAGGGTCGGAGTGTTGAGAAGGGAGGGGCGAGGAGCAACACTGCTCCAGTGAGGAGGGGGGAGAGGGGCAGGGGGGGTAGCAGTCATGATGGGTGACGGCGAGTGGACCCGCGGCGGCCAAGGGTGAAGTTGCTGCTGCTGAGGCTGCTGCACTTCCCCTGCTGCCGCTGCTGCTGCCGCTGGCAGGAGGAGGGAGGGGGGGGGTAAAGGAGGGAGACAGCGGTGGAGGGCAGAGGCGTTCAAGGTGCAGGGAGCGACGGTGACAAGGGCGCAGGCGGCTGTGCGAACGTGCGGCGGCGGGAAGGGGAGGCGGTGGCAAAGTCGGGGGCGGAGGCGGCAAGCAGGCCGCGACGACGAAGGGCGCAGGCGACAGCGGAAGGGCCGCGGCGGCGATGTTGAGAGCGGCGGCTGCAAGCAGGTTGCGGCGGCGGAAAGGTGAAGGCGGCAGGGAAATGGCTGCGGCGGCGAAACGAGGGACGGCGGCGGCAGGCAGGCCGCGGCAACGAGGGGCGCAGGGGGAGGGGGAGGGGGGGGGGGAGAGGAGTAGGGAGAGGAGGAAGGGAGGGTGCAGTTGCGGCTGAATCTGCAGGCGGCGACGGGGCAGTCACGGCGGCAGGAAGTGTGGGCGGGGATGGCGCGGTCGCGGTGGAGGATGGGCAGGCGGCGCCGAAGCAGTGGCGGCGCAGTCGCGTTAACGGGAACCGCGGGGCGACGATGTTGCAGTTGCGGCGGGGGAAATTGCGGGCGGGTGGCGATGCAGAAGGGGCAGCGAAATGCGTGGGTGACGCAGAAGCAGGTGTGGCGGTGGGAGGGGAGGCGGAAATGCGAAATCGCGGCGGGGGGGGGGGGGGGGGGGGGGGGGGGGGGGGCGCGGGAAGGTGACGACGAGCAGTCGCGGCGGCGGAATGCGCAGGCGGCGATGTTAGGTCGCGGCGGCGGGATGGGCAGGGGGGCGACGAGCTGTCGCGGTGGCGGAATGCGCAGGCGGCGATGTTAGGTCGCGGCGGCGGGACGGGCAGGGGGCGACGAGCTGTCGCGGCGGCGGGACGGGCAGACGGCGCCGAAGCAGGCGCGGCGGCGGGAAGGGGAGGCGGCGACGTGACGTCGCGGCCGAGGGACGGGCAGGCGGCGACGAGGCGTCGCGGCGGCAGGATGCGCAGGCGGCGCTGAAGCAGGCGCGGCGGCGGGAACGCGACGACGAGACGTCGCGGCGGAGGGACGGGCAGGCGGCGACGAGGCGTCGCGGCGGCAGGATGCGCAGGCGGCGCCGTAGCAGGCGCGGCGGCGGGAACGCGGCGACGTGACGTCGCGGCGGAGGGACGGGCAGGCGGCGACGAGGCGTCGCGGCGGCGGGATGCGCAGGCGGCGCCGAATCAGGCGCGGCGGCGAGAGGGGGAGGCGGCGACAGGGGGTCGCGGCGGGGGGGAGGAGGGGACAGCGGCGTTGCGCTCGCGGCGGTGGTATCCGCAGGCGAGGAAGGCGTAATCGCGGCGGGAGGGGGGGGGGGGCGGCGGCGACGGCGTAGGTCGCGGCGAGAGTATGCTAGTGATGGCTAGTTGAGCCACGCGTAGGAAAGGGTTTGTAGCTGTGGGGTGGGCCCATGGGGAAAAAAAAAAAAAACTGAAGGGAGGGAGAGGTAAGGCCTAGGAACAAGTAGCTCTATACCATGTGAAAGTAGCAAATTGAACAAGTAACTTCATTAGAGGAGAAACCTAGCATACATAGTTGGAAGAGAGGCTTGGAAGAGAAGGGTGAAGGTGACCATAGGTTGGGTTGACCTCACTTGTAGAAGTGAGGCAACCCTAGGCCCACTTGGCTTGAGATGACCTCACTTGTGGGAAGTGAGGCACCCATAAGCCAAGTGGGTTGCATTTGGGGGCTCCACCACAATTGGGTGGATTGGCACCCCAAAGTGCAAGACTACACCCAAAGTTGGGTGTAGTCCCAACCCAACTGTACACCACAATTGGTGTACAGTCACATGTGTTGGCATGCTACACAACATATATTTTAACACCAATCACCCACTGTGTATGCACACCTTACTGCCTGCACTCTATGGTAATGGATGCACCCCCACTTTTTCTCCTGCTGAAGATGAAACTACACTACCCGAACAATCACAGAAGCAGCAGGGTACCCCTCCCTGTGCAGAGCAAGCAAGCACACCGAGCGCACTCATTACGTACCTTCCCTTATTCACTGCCGGCATTCTATTGTTACAGAAGCATCCCCACTTGCCTCTCCTGTTGAAGATGAAACTACACTACCGATCACAGCAGCAGCAGGGTACCCCTCCCTGTGCAGAGCAAGCAAGCACTGAGTAGCCGTGGCTTGGGGGACGGAAAGAAGCAGCCCCCCGGCTGTTTGCGGGTCAAAGAGGAGAGGAGTGAGCGGATGGGTGGATGCCTGGAGAGGGGAGGGGCGACGGGGAGGGTTGGGAGGGGATTCGAGGGAAAGAAACGACTGGTAAAGAGGGTGCAAGGCGTATATGTTATCAGATATAGTCATTCAATGCTTCAACTCATTTCCATGTACTAGCTCTCGTTTTTCTCCCTCACCTCTTCGTAGTTTGTGATTGCTCGTCGCAGGCGCAGGTTCGAATCCTGCAGCGAGCTGAAAATGCCCTCCTCCACACACTCCAGTGCACCGTCCTAAAGAGGGGAGGGGATGGGTGAGGTTGAAAGTTAGATTGAGAGGCTTGAGACGTCTCAAAACCCGTCCTAAAGATGGGAAGGGACGAATGAGGTTGAGGGTTAAACTTGGAACGTCTCAAGCTCTAGCCATCCACATTTAGGAATTTCGTGCCTTTAGCTCATTTCCTGGCGTGCAAATGGGTTACCAGGTGTGCCAATGGGTTACCAGAATCGGAACTGTAGAGGGAGTGATGGTGACTGTAACTCGAGATGCTGTTGTCATTTCCACCAGATGGCCTGTCGATGGCATGGGAAGGCACAAAGGGCGAACGGCACGTTGGATGAGACACAGGCAGGATTCGGGAGACATCTGGGTGATGGCAAGACATGGCCTACACATAGGGCAGGCCATGGGTTGTATGCGTGTAGACACAACATGTCACATACACTTATTGCAATATGCACATGGTACGACACGGCACTGCAGGTTACTGCACGCACCAAGTAAGCCAAACCCTGTGACGTCAGTCGCAGCAGAGGCGCCGTGTTGCAATGCAATGGCTGCTGCTTTCTGGTGGCGTTTGCAGTGGGGAGGAGGGGTGGGGAGGGGATAATGAATTGGCAACAAAGGTGGCAGCAGAAACCCCGTGCTGCAATGCAATGGCTGCTGCTATGGCAACGGGTGGTCAAGGGTGGGGGAAACGGGGTGCTGGTTTTGAAGCTTGCATAGGAATGAAGGGAGGACCGCATCAGATTTTTCAGCACATGAAGGAACCACTACACAAGCTACTTGAAGGAACCAGATTTTATACTGGTCTCGAGACAGCACACCACTTCAAGCATCAGTCTAGACCCGGGACTCACCTGATTGGATACCAGCATGCTATCGATCGCCCCATCCACCCACCGCCCCTGAAGGTTGTGGGAGGATAGCAGAAGGGAAGGGGGGTAGGCAGAGGAAGACGGATAGAGGAGGAGGTAACGCTTGAGTACAAACAGGGGGCACTGGCAGATGGATAGAGGTAGGTAGGAAATCCCACCACCATATTCAAGGAAAGAGCTGGGCTAAGGGAGGACTAGGCCTATTGGGGCTGGGAAATTCGACGAGAGAGCCATTGGGACTACTTTTGAGCTGGGCTAAGGAGCCACCTCTTTGTAGGCGCCTAAAAAATAATCTCGTAACACGAGAGGAATCTCATATTTGTGGAAAGATGGCCAGAGAGCTGTTGGAGTCATGTATTATTAACTGTGACTTTATTGGTGAAAGGTTTTGCTCTTTGAGTAAGTATTTGGCTGAGAAGAGTGTTGATTGTGAGCCTGAAACCCTAGGCCCACGACCCGAGCATTAGGTGACTTTTGAGTCGACTCAAAAGTCACCGAGTTGATTGTGAGCTTGCAACCCTAGGCCCACGACCCGAGCATTAGGCTCACCAACCCCTTGTCCCACCTTGGCCTTGCATCGCATGTTGGCGGCAAAGATGACTCCCGTGCCGATGGGCTTGGTGAGGATGATGGCATCTCCCCCACTCATGCCCGCCTGTGTGTGTGCATGGGGTGAGAGAGGGATGCACACGGGACAAGCCGGGGAATGAGAGGAGGGTGGTATTGGCTCCAACCAGCCGTCCCACCTTGGCCTTGCATCGCATGTTGGCGGCAAAGATGAGATAGACGGGTATGGGAGGGAGGTGCCTGCTTGTGTGAAAAGTACCGATGGGCTTGGTGGGGATGATGGCATCTCCCTCACGCATGCCCGCCTGTGTGCATGGGGTGAGAGAGGGATGCATGGAACATTCCCGGGACGGATAGGTATGGGAGGGAAATGCAGGTGTGATTTGAGCTGACTCCAAATTTTGCCTTGCCAATTGTCTTGCTATTTTTGAGGCGCCTCAAAAGCTGACTCCAAGTATAGCCTTGCCAATTGTCTTACCGAATGGTATTTCAAGGTTGCAAACCTGTCAAAGATCCGGCTAATGATGATGAGAATAATAATAACAACAATAGTAGTAATAGTGATGAAATCTATACTAACAATGACAATAACAAAATTCAGCTATTACTATTATCATCATAGTCACTACGTGTGTACCTTTCTCAGCAGCCGGTCTCTGTCAGCCAATCCCGTGACAGCGAACCCCAGCGACAGCTCAGCGCCCTCCACGGTGTGCCCTCCCACCAGCTGACACGTGGCAGCATCCAATTCGCGGATGGCCCCTGCCATGAGCTGGAAAAGCTCCTCCTCCATCTGGTGAAAGAGGGTGGGGCGAAAGGAAAACGGATGGAGGAGAAGCGGGGCGAAAAGGGAAAGAAAGGAGAAGTGGGGGGAAAGGGGAAGGGAAAGGGGATTGTAAAAAGGGTACCTGCCATGAGCTGGAAAAGCTACTTCTCCATCTGATGAGAGGGGAGTTGGGCGGGGAAAAGAGGAGGGGAGGGGGGGGGGGGGGGGTAGAAGGAGGGGTGAGGGGGTGAGGGGGAGAAGAGGGGCGGAGGGCTAGTGGAGCTGACAGTAACGAGAGTTACCCTAGAATCACAGGGCTCACCTTCTCCTCGGTGCCATAGGGCAGGCAGCATTGAGATGGGATGACCACCCATGGCAAAGCAGTCGCTCAAAGCATGGAGGGCAGCAGTGTGTGAGTGAGAGTAGCTGGGGCTATATGACTATAACGGGAGTTACATTGATACCACAGGGCTCACCTTCTCCTCTGTTCCGTAGGGCAGTGTGACTATAGCGAGCGCTGAGACGGGGTCAGCACCCATGGCGAAGCAGTCACTCAAAGCGTGGAGGGCAGCGATACGACCGAATGTGTGCGGATCGGAGAGGAAGGAGCGGAAGAAGTCGACCGTCTGGACCACGACTGGGCTCTGGTGGGAGTGGGGGAGAGATGGGAGACAGAGGGAAAGCACATGGCTTGTTGTGGCATGGAGGGTGGCAATGACAGGTATGCGTGCACGCCCAGGTGTGTGTATCAGAGAGGAATGAGCGGAAGAAGTCAACTGTCTGCACCACGACTGGGCTCTGGTTGGAATGGGGGAGAGTGGAGAGTGGAGAGTGGAGAGTGGAGAGTGGAGAGTGGAGAGTGGAGAGTGGAGGGTGGAGGGTGGAGAGTGGAGAGTGGAGAGTGGAGAGTGGAGAGTGGAAGGTGGAGAGTGGAGAGTGGAGAGTGGAGGGTGGAGAGTGGAGAGTGGAGGGTGGAGAGTGGAGAGTGGAGAGTGGAGGGTGGAGAGTGGAGAGTGGAGAGTGGAGAGTGGAGAGTGGAGAGTGGAGGGTGGAGAGTGGAGGGTGGAGAGTGGAGGGTGGAGAGTGGAGAGTGGAGAGTGGAGGGTGGAAAGTGGAGGGTGGAGAGTGGAGAGTGGAGGGTGGAGAGTGGAGAGTGGAGAGTGGAGGGTGGAGAGTGGAGGGTGGAGAGTGGAGAGTGGAGGGTGGAGAGTGGAGGGTGGAGAGTGGAGGGTGGAGAGTGGAGAGTGGAGAGTGGAGGGTGGAGAGTGGAGGGTGGAGAGTGGAGAGTGGAGGGTGGAGAGTGGAGGGTGGAGAGTGGAGAGTGGAAGGTGGAGAGTGGAGAGTGGAGAGTGGAGGGTGGAGAGTGGAGAGTGGAGGGTGGAGAGTGGAGAGTGGAGAGTGGAGGGTGGAGAGTGGAGAGTGGAGAGTGGAGAGTGGAGAGTGGAGAGTGGAGAGTGGAGGGTGGAGAGTGGAGGGTGGAGAGTGGAGGGTGGAGAGTGGAGAGTGGAGAGTGGAGGGTGGAAAGTGGAGGGTGGAGAGTGGAGAGTGGAGGGTGGAGAGTGGAGAGTGGAGAGTGGAGGGTGGAGAGTGGAGGGTGGAGAGTGGAGAGTGGAGGGTGGAGAGTGGAGGGTGGAGAGTGGAGGGTGGAGAGTGGAGAGTGGACAGTGGAGGGTGGAGAGTGGAGGGTGGAGAGTGGAGAGTGGAGGGTGGAGAGTGGAGGGTGGAGAGTGGAGAGTGGAGGGTGGAGAGTGGAGGGTGGAGAGTGGAGGGTGGAGAGTGGAGAGTGGAGAGTGGAGGGTGGAGAGTGGAGGGTGGAGAGTGGAGAGTGGAGGGTGGAGAGTGGAGGGTGGAGAGTGGAGAGTGGAGGGGGGATGCACACAGCCGTTAGGGAGGGGAGGGCGGCAATCGGGGAGGGGAGTTGGGAGAATGGGGATGGGGAGAAGGGAGACGGGGAGACGGGAGGAGGTGGGGAGACGGAAGATTGGAAGATACGATTTGAGATCAGGAGTTTCATAAATACAAAACCACTGTGTTCAAAAGAGCTGTCAGGTGCATGGCCAGGTGAGTCCATCCAGGCCAGGGGAATCTCAATATGCATACCTACCTGACTGCACTGCCAGCCATGCTGTCAGGTGTTGTCGCCAGCATAGCGGCCTCGTCAGGTGAAGTCTCATACTTGACTGCCGGCCTTCTCTCAGGTGAAGTCTCATACTTGACTGCCGGCCTTCTCTCAGGTGAAGTCTCATACTTGACTGCCGGCCTTCTCTCAGGTGAAGTCTCATACTTGACTGCCGGCGCTTCTCTCAGGTGAAATTGCCCAGCACGGCAGCAGCTTCAGGTGATTAGCCAGAAGAAAGTCCACATGCGTACCTGTCTGCCGCCCGTTCTATCAGGTGGTATCGCCAGCACAGCAGCATCGTCAGGTGAGTCGAGACCCAGAAGGATCTCCGGGCGGCCAGGTGGGCGGCTGGGGAGGGCGGCGAGACGCATGAGGACGCGGGAGAGAAGAGACGAGCCGACCTGGTGGGAGCGACGGGGAGGAAAGGGGGGGGTTGGGCAGGGGTTGGGCAGGGAGTGGGGGATCGGGGTTAGAGGGAGAGTGAGGAGGGCAGATGGATACGTCAGTGGCTGGGAGCGGTGGCAAGACAAGTGAGGACGCGGGAGAGAGAGAGGAGACGAGCTGACCATGTGTCGTCCGTATCTTCCCAGACATGGAAACATGGTGTGGGGACAGACTTACTACTGCGAATCCACTTCCCAAACGGCATTGGGGGGACGTGTTACCTTGGAGCCGCACCCCCCACAGCGCATGGGCATGCTCTTGAGTGCCAGGAGCGCTTCAGGCCCGGCCGTGTGTGCGACCGGGATAGCGGGGAGAGGGGTTTAGGGTGGGGATTGCGTGTTATTAACCTGCAAACGACTCACCTTGGATCCGCACCCCCCACACCGCATGGGCATGCTCTTGAGTGCCACGAGCACTTCAGCCCCGGCCTTTTTTTTTTTTTTTTTTTTTTTTTTTTTTTTTTGGTGGATATAAGTACACTAACAGTATACATACATCCGCAGTCGTAACTGTTGCTAGGAGGGCATGGAAAGGCTACAAGTAACCAGAACCCCCCTTATCCTTTTACGGAGGTTGGAAAGCTACACCACCATCTTCCCAGAAGCCCCGGCCGTGTGTGTGACCGGGATGGTGGGGAGAAGAGGCGATGGGTGGGGACTTACACATCGACCTACACACATCTCACCTTGGAGCCACACCCCCCACAGCGCATGGGCATGCTCTTGAGTGCTGAGAGCGCTTCAGGCCCCGCCGTGTGTGCTTCGGGGATAGCGGGGAGAGAAGACAGGCAAGTTAGCTTAGCTATTGACGCACATGGCTCACCTTGGATCCGCACCCCCCACAGCGCATGGGCATGCTCTTGAGTTTTCCCAGCGCAGCGCATGGGGATCAGGCCCCGCCGTGTGTGAGACAGGGATAGCGAGGAGAGGGGGCGATGGGTGGGGACTCGACCTACACACATCATACCTTGGAGCCACACACCCCACAGCGCATGGGCATACTCTTGAGCGCCAGGAGAGCTTCAGGCCCGGCCGTGTGTGCAACAGGGATGGTGGGGAGAGGGGGCGATGACTAGGGTAGGGGATATACCACGCACACACACACACACACACACCCTACCTTGGAACCACACCCTCCACACCGCATGGGCATGCTCTTGAGTGCCAGGAGCGCTTCAGGTCCGGCCGTGTGTGCAACGGGGATAGCGGGGAGAGGGGGCGATGGCATGGTGGGGAGTTGGCTGAACTGCCACATGAAGGCCCGATCAATGCGGTCCTGAGCGGTTGAAATGGTAAAAGAAGGGGGGGAAGGCGGCAGGCGCGAGTGTAAGGAAGACGAAAGAGGTGTCTCACATAAGGATGGCATGACAGGCAGTTGGCTGAACTGACGCATGAAGGCCTGGTCTATGCGGTTCTGAGCGGTTGAATGGGTGTGAAAGGTATGGGAAGGTGGGAGACGAGACACCCTCTGGCGACAATGCAAAGTTCGCTCTCATTCTATTTGACGGCTTTTCACGGTTCAGAACAAAGAGCAGCAGCACTCTCACCTTGAGGGTCCACACGAGACTATCTTCAAAAGCCAAAGAGCCCCGAGAGAAAACCGCGTACTTGCCACCCGTGCTGTGAGCGAGGGCATGGGAGAAGATGGTAGGGTTGGGGAAGAGAGTGAGAGAATGAGTGAGTGAGTGGGACGAAGGCACGGGAGTGTGAGTGGATATCCCCCTACTACAAACAGCCAGAGGTCCCTACCGCACAGCCAACACGCCTCTGCCAGAAGCACGCACAGGAACAGCTCCAAAGGCTGCTCCACAAGTACTCTTCTTAGATTCTCCACTGGGGGTATGCCCTGCCGCACTGCAAACACGCCCGCCTTGGGCCCAGTCATCAGACACACACACACACACACACACACACACACACACACACACACACACGCACACACACACACACACCACAGAGCATACCTGATTAGGCTGAGAAAGGTTTTTTGAGGCCGAAATGGCTTCAACGGCTGATCCAGAAGCGCTCTCCTCAAGTTGTCAGCTAAGGGCATGCCCTGCCGCACTGCAAACACGCCTGCCTTGGGCCGCGGGTAAACGTCGGACGAGTGGATATCCCCCGCTGCAAACACCCCTTTATGGCTCATGGATTCTAGTGTCTCCCCCACTCGGATGAAACCGCTGCTGTCCAGAGCCAAGCCTGTTTCAGAGAGCCAGGAAGCTGCTCCGCCCTGGGGAGTGGGGGTGGAAGGCATGTTGACGTTGATGAGTGGATGTCCCCTGCTGCAAACACCCCTCTATGGCTGATGGATTCTAGTGTCTCCCCCACTCGGATGAAACCGCTGCTGTCCAGGGCTAGGCCTGTTTGGGCCAGCCACAAGGCTGCTCCGCCCTGGGAGGGATTGGTGGGGTGGGTGGGTGGAAGGACAGAGAGAGAAGGAATGTAAGTTTCATTTTCCACCCTCCCTGCAAACACCCCTTTATGGCTGATAGCCTCTAACCTGTCCCCCACTCTGATGTGATTTTTAAGTCGACTAAAAAATAACCTTCTCCACCCTCCCTGCGAACACCCGCTTTATGGCTGATAGCCTCTAACGTGTTCCCCACTCGGATGAAGCCTGCCGACACTATCCCTCTCGCCACCTGCCTGCACTGTCACACACAAGCACACCCACCTGTGTGCACCACACACACTAGCACACCCACCTGTGTGCACCACACACACAAGCACACCCACCTGTGTGCACCACACACACTAGCACACCCACCTGTGTGCACCACACACACTAGCACACCCACCTGTGTGCACCACACACACTAGCACACCCACCTGTGTGCACCACACACACTAGCACACCCACCTGTGTGCACCACACACACTAGCACACCCACCTGTGTGCACCACACACACTAGCACACCCACCTGTGTGCACCACACACACTAGCACACCCACCTGTGTGCACCACACACACTAGCACACCCACCTGTGTGCACCACACACACAAGCACACCCACCTGTGTGCACCACACACACTAGCACACCCACCTGTGTGCACCACACACACTAGCACACCCACCTGTGTGCACCACACACACTAGCACACCCACCTGTGTGCACCACACACACTAGCACACCCACCTGTGTGCACCACACACACTAGCACACCCACCTGTGTGCACCACACACACTAGCACACCCACCTGTGTGCACCACACACACTAGCACACCCACCTGTGTGCACCACACACACTAGCACACCCACCTGTGTGCACCACACACACAAGCACACCCACCTGTGTGCACCACACACACTAGCACACCCACCTGTGTGCACCACACACACTAGCACACCCACCTGTGTGCACCACACACACTAGCACACCCACCTGTGTGCACCACACACACTAGCACACCCACCTGTGTGCACCACACACACTCGTCGAATTCCACCTCCTCTCCCCCGTCCAGAACAAGCACCCCTCCTTGCACTGCCGACCCTTGAGCTTCTGGCCCTCTTCCCCCATTTCCTCTCTCAGCACCGTTCTCCACTCCTCCTTGTCGTGGTCTCACTGCCACCACTGCAGCATCGAGCACCTTCACACCTGGTTGATTTATTCAAGGTTGCACGCACGTGGGGTGGCGGGGTGAATAGGATTAGAAACGTAAAAAGTGTTGTGACTTTTTACAGTGGGTCGTGAGGGTGGTGACTGGATAGCTGGCGGATGTTTACAATTGATGGGCCTCAAAAGGTAACACTCTTCTTGAGGACCTAAGGTATCATTGCATCAAGAACCTTCACTCCTCTCCCTCGTTCATCTCCCTCACTCATTCCCCTCACTCCTCTCCCTCACTCCTCCACTCCTCCCTCACTCCTCCTCCACTCCTCCCTCACTCCTCCTCCACTCCTCCATCACTCCTCCTCCACTCCTCACTCACTTCTCTCCTTCAAGATCCGTCGGAGAATCGATCGCACGCGTGCGTTGTGGGTGGGCAGGAGCTCCCCCCTCGTTATGAGCACAAAAGAGGCGTACACCTGGCTTTTCTGTAATTCATAATAAAAGAAACCACGAAACATTGCAAATGCACTAAAAAAAAAAAACTAAAAAAAAGAACAGTCAAAGACATGAACTGTTCTTAGACGCCCTAATTGAATTCTGTAAGACTGAGGCAACCAATGCAGAATCTTCAAAGTCTAGCTGCAAAATCAAAGCTGTAGGAATTGGAATAACAGGATCTGGTAACCCCTAACTGGTTACCACACCAGCTGGTTACCAGGCAGTCCTGCTGCAGTCGATGCTGCATGGCCAAAATTAGTTCCACTCCCCCGGCTCCCCCTCCCACCACCACCACTCGCACACTGGAGCCCTGTACGAGAAGGAGTGGTGAGGGGTGCAGTTGGGTTTGGGGGGTTGGTGAGGACGGGGAGTGAGAGCATAAATGCAAATCTAGGCAGTTCCACTCCCCCGGCTCCCCCTCCCACCACCACCACTCGCACACTGGAGCCCTGTACGAGAAGGAGTGGTGAGGGGTGCAGTTGGGTTTGGGGGGTTGGTGAGGACGGGGAGTGAGAGCATAAATGCAAATCTAGGCAGTTCCACTCCCCCGGCTCCCCCTCCCACCACCACCACTCGCACACTGGAGCCCTGTACGAGAAGGAGTGGTGACGGGTGGGGTTGGGTTTGAGGGGGTGGGAAGGGAACAAGGCACGAACCCCACCCCTCACCACCACACGCACACTCGAGCCATGGGGTTCAAAAAGAACGAGCGGTGAGCGGTAGGGTTGGGTTTGGAGGGGTGGCGGACGCGGCATGGAATGGAGGTCATAGATGCAAACAAAAGGAGGGTGCTGTTGGCGGTGTTTCCCACCCACCCACCAGCGATCCGTTCATTTCCACCGTAACTCTTTGCATAACTCTTCGACCTCCCACCGTAACTCTTTGCATGCACCCTTCGACTCCACCCACCCACCCTGCCAGTGCAGCTCACAGGGGCGAGGGAGAGGATGCGCGACCGGAGGGCCTCCCAGCGGTGAGTGAAGGAGTCGATGGGCTTCACAGGGAGGGTGAGGTCCTTTGCGCGTGGCACTGATTGCTGCTCACATGGGGTGCGAAAGAATCAGACGGGTTGGGGTAAAAACGGGGAAAAAGGGTTGTGGGGGGGGCGGGGGGGGGCGGAGGGGAAAAGGAGGGGATTCTAAACATTAGAAAGTGCGGGGTTTCGTTGTGGTTACCAGAATGGTGATTGGGGTTACATAAAACGTAATACACTTGCTGGGGTTACCAGAAGGGTGTTGGAATTCCGAAAGCTTCATTGGGATTTCCAGAGGTCTATTTGGGTTACCAGTGGTGTGATCCCGATGTCAACGGACAGAACGTCGTGTCGTGACGGATGGGGGGTCTGCCATCCGCCAGCACCACAGCACGCTGCTCCAAGTCCCGGCCCAACGCACAGCAGTGCAGCAGGGGATGTTACCAGTGGGGCTGGACTTGGACGCCAGGTGACGGCATACCAGAGGTGTGATCCCAATGTCAATGGACAGCACATCGTAGCGAATGGGAGGGCGCCCATCCGCCAGCACCACAGCACGCTGCTCCAAGTCCAGGCCAGAGGCGCAGCAGTGCAGCAGGCGAGCGTTGGTGAGTTGCGCCAAGGGCCTCAAGTCAATGTGACAATCGTCGTACGTGTAGTGACCTGGGAGGGGGGTGCAGTGTGGAGCAGTGCGGTGTGGAGGGAGGCTAGGCCAGCAGCAGACGAGCAGCAGTGCAGCAAGCGAGCGTTGGTGAGTTGGGCCAAGGGGTGCAGGTCAATGTGACAGTCGTCGTACGTGTAGTGGCCTGGACGGGTGGAATGTGGTGCAATGCAGTGAAATGCAGTGCGGGTACTGTCTCACCGGCAACGAGGCCTGGCAGCATGCCGCTGTAGGGAGTATGTACGTCCCTCGTGACCAATGTGAGCCTGACACCTGGCATCGGCTTCATGGCGAAGCTCTTGAGCACCACCACGTGGCTGCATGTGGTTATGGAGAGGGGGCGCATGGGAGAAATGGGGGGAAAGGGGGGGAATGGGGGGGAATGGGGGATACATAAGCACGGCTGTTACCGCTGTGTTACAGGGCTTCATGGCAAAGCTCTTGAGCACCACCACGTGGCTGCACGTGGGGAGGGGAGGGGGGGCGCATGGGTAGAATGGGGGGGAATGGGGAAGAATGGGGAGAATGGGGGGGAACGGGGGATACATAAGAAAGGGCTACCGCTTTTGTGTTGAAGGGCTTCATGGCGAAGCTCTTGAGCACCACACCACCACGTGGCTGCACGTGGGGAAGGGGGAGGGGGAGGGCATGGGGAGAATGGGGGGGAATGGGAGATAGATTAGCACAGCTGTTACCATCGTGCTGAAGGGCTTCATGGCAAGCTCTTGAGCACCACACCACCACGCGGCTGCACGGGAGCACGCACGGCGGGGAGGGGGCGACTGAAGGAGGGAGTGGGGAGCGGGGAGCGGGGAGGAGGGAGAAAGGTGGATGGGGAGGGAAAGAGGGGACGATCTGGAAAAGAAATGCTAACGAGCACAATATGAGAAGAAAAGTGGGACCATGATGGCAAGAGGATTCGAGGGAAGCGCACCTGTGACCTCCGCCAATCAGAACGAGGTCCTTCACCACCATCGTCGGGCCGGCGTTGGCCATCGGACGGCTGGCGAGCAGCCTCGATAGCAGCGAGCCCATCGGGCCGTTGGATCAGCTAACAAAACGGAAGCTCACGCACGCGAAACGCATTGACAGAATGGAGGAGATAGTATGCAAGGTTTGTACGGAAGATAGTAATGACGACTCGTCTGCAAGGAGCGCTGCTCCGTCTGTCAGGAACAGTAATGCTTCGTCTATAAGGAACAACGCCTGGTTGAGAAGAGAGATTCGCTGACCGTCGGTATTCTCAAGGGAGCTGCAAGTGATAGGGCCTCGTCGCCCGCTGATTCGCCGTGACGTGACGTCATCGACACGAGGATTCGTTGTACTTTCCCGTTAGCGGGATTCGTTCCTCAAATGGTTTTCCTGAAACCATGTCTCGTGATACGTATAAGATACTTTGATGCTCATGGATTTACCGCTAAACTGGATATAATATCGCCAGGTACAAGTGCAGCAGCAAAAGGTGGTTGATGTTTCTGCCATGTTTAACCTTAGGAATAAAGGCCACATAAGGGGAACACGATCGCATTGAAGTATCAATTGTAGTTGTGACTGGACACTATAAAAAAGTGGCGCCCATACCACCTCCACTTTTAGTCCAAAGAACTACACAAGAATGTTTGTCTCCATTCCACACCTGAATCTAACAAATAAATGTGGAGTCTGGACGAATGCATTAAACAGGTACCAGTACTTCTGGCTATCTCTCCCACACACCCATGGGCGGCATGTTTGGGTGCCTCATCTCATCTCCTGTACACCTGTGGGTGGCACCTCAGCCGGATCGCTGCCACGTCATCAGCAGTTGATCCTGTGAGAGTCTTGGGGTCGATCTGGTACACCAGAGGCCAGTACTTCCCTGTGACTGCAACAGAATGTCGCAGCGAATAATAACGAGGATATGGCGAGGGTTAAGACATGGTGGGATGGAGAGGAGATAATTATGATAGGGTGAGAGACGGAAGGCTTGTGAGGGATCGTCAGGCGGATAAGGGTAACATGGTGTTCGTTGTAGGGGGGATATTGGAAGTGTGGAAAGCAAATGAGGGAAAGCATGATCACCAGTATCTAGCAATGTTGGGAATGATCGATTGACTGATGAGAGGGGAGGAAGGCGTGGGGGGAGGGGGTTGGGTGGGCAGCATGGGGGCATAGGGCCGTGTCAAGTGGTTTGATGGGCAGCATGGGATCAAACCATGCTATGCCATTCAGTATGGGTTGGGCATACCAAAGAGGCGTCTCTGCTGTGCATCCCATGCAATGCCGTTCAGCACATCAAACTGCTGGTTCGGCTTCATCTGGGCTGCTGCTAGCGCCCTGAGGCACGAGGGCAGAGAGAGCGGGGGTTTGAGAGAGGGAGAAGAAAGAAGGGGAGTGGTTAAACAACAATTGGTTACACAGGAGCATTGCCGAAAGAGTTGGTTACACAAAAGCCAGTCCTGCCTGCTCGACGACCCGAGCTGATTGCTGGTTACAAGCGAGCTGATTGCTGGTTACAAGCGAGCTGATTGCTGGTTACAAGCGAGCTGATTGCTGGTTACAAGCGAGCTGATTGCTGGTTACAAGCGAGCTGATTGCTGGTTACAAGCTTATTGCATGCAGATCACAAGCTCACTTCATGCAGATCACAAGCTCACTTCATGCGGCATGCAATAAGCTTTTAATCCTCACCGCATGCGCTGCAGGTCCATCAAGGCTGCCACTCGCCCTGACACCATTTGCTCGCTTCGTCTGTCTCCACACACGCACTCACTGCACGCAACAACTCTCAACAACTCTCTAGTATTGGCCCTCGCCACAGGCGGTGGGGGAGAAGGTCTGGAATAAATCCACCCCCTCATGCTGACTGAAGTCGCGTGCAAAGTAATGCGCCTTGAAGGCAGGCGGTGAACCCAGCGGTCGCTTCACCCTTTAGATCCACATGGCACTGACGACGTTCGCCCCAGGCGGTGGGACTGCGTCGGCGTAGGTTCCAGGATGCCATCTCGGCTTCCATAGCTGTTTTCCATTGAGAGGACCAAGGACCCGTGACCGCCTCAGCGTAAGAGCCAGGTCCATCCACGCTGCCACTCGCCCTGGCACCATTTGCTTCACACACAACTGCATGCTCAGTACGATTCGCACACCAGATCGTTGCATGCAGCAACTAACCCTCACCGCAGTCGTTGCAGGTCCATCCAGGCCGCCACTCGCCCTGACAGCGGGTCGATCACAGCAACGCAATCGGTCTGGGACAATGGGATGGCCAGAGGGAGGAGAGGGAGGAGGGGGTGAGGGGGAAGGGGAGTGGGAGGGAGGGGGAGAGAGGGGGGAAGGGGGGGGTTGTGGCTTTGAACTGACTCAGAGGACAAGACACCTCGCAGGTCCAGCAGGCAGCCACTCGCCCTGACAGCAGGTCGATCACAGCAACGCAGTCAGTCTGAGACAGTGAGATGGGTGAGATGGGCCAGGGGGAAGGGGTGGGACGGTTCAACAGGACCCAGGGAAACGGGTGACGATGAGCAAAAAAGACGGGGTGGCGTGTGGGTGGGGGTTGACAGGTGGGGCAGGCGGGGCAACAACACATGCGCTGACCCGTCACTTTCAACTCGTTGATCCAAGCAGAGCAGCCCCCCATTCCATCATTCTCATCCACCATCATGCATGCTCCTTCTCGCCCTCACCTCCCCCACTCCCCTCCCTCCCCCCTTCCCCTCCCTCCCCCCTACCCCTCTTCCCCTCTTCCCCCCTTCCCCTCTTCCCCTTCTCCCCTCGCACCTGCCACACGTTGGCGTAGATACGCCCACCGCGCACTTCCAGCTCGTTGATCCATGCAATGGGTCTTCCTTCACTCGCTCACCTCCCCTTTCCCTCTCTCACCTCCCCCTCTCACCACCCTTCTCACTTGCCACACGTTGGCATAGATACGCCCACCGCGCACTTCCAGCTCGTTGATCCATGCAATGGGAGTGCTGCCATCCATCACCTTCACTTTATGCAGCGCTGCCACGGGTGGGAAGAGGGGGACGGGGGAGAGGAGGGGGACGGGGAAGGGGAAAGGAAAAGGAAAGGGGAAGGGGAAAGGAACGGGGAAGGGGAGAGGATGGGAGGCGGACGGGAGGGGGTGAAGATACAATGGGAGTGCCGCCATCCATCACCTGCACTTTATGCAGCGCTGTCACGGGTGGGTGAGGGGGACCAAGAGAAGGGGGCGGAGGCGAACGGGGGGGTGAAGATGCAATGGGTATGCCAACATCAGTCACCTACACCTCGTGCAGCGCTGGAGAAAGGAAGAGGGAGGGGAGGGAGGAGGCAGAGAACGGAGCTTTGGAAGTGAAAGAGGAGAGAGAGAAGACGCAACAGAGTTGCCTCCATGAGTCACCTGCACCTTGTGCAGCGCTGCACCTTGAGCATGAGGCGCCTCAATCAAACGTCATGATGCTATGGATGGACATACTTTTGAAGGTGGTTTCGCTGATGCCGTAGATGAACGAGGTGCCATCGGAGCCAACCAGCAGCGACAGGCAGGTTGTATGTTGACAGGCCCCACCCGTCCGTCACTCATCTGATGGGCCCTTTTACAACCTACAATGACGCGACGCTTGTTGCATTTTTGTAACCTGCTCATACACGTACTCTTGAAGGTGGTTGCGCTGATGAAGTAGATGTACGAGGTGCCATCGGAGCCAACCAGCAGCGATCGGTTGTGTGTTGACAGGCCCCACCCGTCAGTCAGTCACTTGGAGCACCCGTTGTGCCCCTTCCATGACCTATGCACCTACTCTTGAAGGTAGTAGCGCTGATGAAGTAGATGTAGGAGGTGCCATCGGAACCAACCAGCAGCGATCGGTTGTACGTTGATAGGCCCCACCCGTCCGTCATCTGGTGGCGGAAGCTGCCTGGAAGGAGCCGCGTGTGGGTAAGAGGGAAAGGGGGTAAGAGGGTCGGACGGAGGAGGTTAGGTGAGGCGAATCAGGGATTCTTGACTCTTAAGAACATCACCTCGCCACAGTTTGTTAACATCATGACTGCTACCACCAAAAACCGTATATTGAAGTCCCTTTTGAGAATTCTAAAATATGAGTGAATCGCCTCCCATTGTTCTCTCACTCTCACATGTCTTCAATTGCAGCCTTCTACAGTCGCATGTAAAATCTCCAAAACACTGTTGGGTTGAATCTCCCTTGGGGCATCTGGAATCTCACCAGTCGTGTTTTGAGTCGACGCAAAACACGACTTAAATCTCCAAAACACCGTTGGGTTGAATCTCCCTTGGGACATCTGGAACCTCACCAGTCTTCTGCAGAGTGTTGCGGTTGTATATTGTCCCCGTTTTCACCTGCCACGCTAACTGAAACAGCCTGGGGGGACAGGGGACCGGCAACACATACAGGCAAAAGACAGAGGCAACAGAAAGAAGGCGTCAGACAGAATGCAACAGACAGAAGACGTCAGATACCAGAACGCAATAGACAGAAGGCGTCAGACACCAGAAAGCAAAGGATGCAGGCAACACCAGAAATTTACCAAGCAATAACACGGCTTCAAGTGTTTCCAACAGCACTGCGATGCGTGGGGTGGGTGGGTGATTGGTAAGCGGGTGTTGAGACGACTCCCTGACACCCCACCTGTTGTTAACGAGTGCGAGCCCTTCACTGAACACCTGACCGCTCTGAGGCACTTTCCTTAGCACCTGCATGGTGTGTGGCGGGTGGTGGGTGGGTGGGTTACTTGTCTCAGCAACTTGTGTGGTGGGTGAGTGGACATGGTAGACAGCTTCTGGATCAACCAGGATACGATATTGTAATCATTTTCTACCTCCTTACAATCCTGATCGTTCCTTCTCGTTAAACATACCTAACTGAACGTAGCTTCTAACAAGCATACCCACATGAGCATACCTTCCCTGTGGCGACATCAACTTCCCTCACACAGTTGACTGAGGTGACTTTTTGGTCGACTCAAAAGTCACCTTATAACCTGAACTGGACGTACCTTCTAACAAGCATACCCACATGAGCATACCTTCCCTGTGGCGACATCAACTTCCCTCACAC